ATTAACTACAGGTCAAGTTATTATTTGTTGTTCCTACAACTTGGTTAAGCGACAAGACTTTTGTCAGGCACTGTATATACCAATAGAGTCTGTGAAATAAGTTTTTTTTGCTATAATCATTTTCCAACCCCTGAATACTGGAAAAGCTTCAAATATCTCAATATGAACTTGTTCCAATATCATTGAGCCATACTCAGAAAATTCACAAAAAATAACTATATGGTTATTATGTACAGTATTATGTAAGATGATGCAGCTAAGCAAATGGGCTAACCATTTAAGCAGCAATTACTTTGAGATACATGAATCATACAAAGTAAATATGAGTTGAAATGGTGTCAGAGGCAGAGAAGGCTAGTCCAAGCAGCTAAACGGCGCATATACATGGCTAGCCTTGCATTACTAGGCGAGTCCGCGAATGCCGAATGTTGTCTTTTAAGATGCACTACAGTCAGACCGCTGTGACTAGACCTGTCACAATTATCAATTAATTGCTGACCGCGATAATTTTTTGGATAATTATCATAATCGTTATATACCTATAAATTGAAATGTTTTTGATCACTATTTAATAGTTTGGGCAGTACAGTTTTGGATTTGTGCTAGTATCCTTCTTTCTCGTTCGGTTATTCCCGTTTGATTGGTTCGATCAATGACGTCTTTTCTTCACGCTGCTATTGTTTAGCCGCGCGCCGTCCCGCTCTAGCAGAGTAATCATGGAGAACTTAGTTTCAAAGCCAAACACAACAGCTCTGCTGTGGGCGCATTTTGGTTTCAAGCCAAATGAAAAAGGAGAGCCTGATAACCTGACTGAAGCGATTTGCCGAATGTGTGGAAGAAAACTGTCGGTCAAAAGCGCCAATACAACAAATCTACAAGACCACCTCCGGATTCATCATCCCACCCAATATGCCGAACTAGGTAAAACAACTGCAGCTACGGCTCCTCGGCTACTACCTATCACTAATGCTTTTGATCGAGTTACTAAATATAAACGTGACGGAGCCAAATGGCGCTCATTAATAGACAGCGTGACGTAGGGTGACCACCTAATCCATGTTAGTAGGGACACTATGAGCTACTTCAGCTTTTACGAACTACTTTAAAGCTGAAAGGGTTCTGTGCTCTGCTAAAATGTTTGGTTAGTTCCTAGATTGAAAGACTCATCCAGCTGTTTCACATTAACATTACTGACACATATGCATGATTATAGGAGACTGACCAATCAGCATACGGCAAGAACCCAGTGCTTAAGTGAAATCCTGGTCCTTTTTATTGAAATGTATGAAATGGTAGTTTACAAATCCTGTTGTAGCTCATAGTGTCCCTCCTGACATGGATTAGGTGGTCACCCTAGCGTGACGCGATATATAGCGAAAGAAATGCTGCCGTTCAATATTGTCGAAAAGAAAGCATTCAAAGAAATGCTTCAAAACTTTGACAAGCAATATGAATTACCAGGCAAAACTTACATGTCCAAAACTGCAATCTCCAATTTATACAACCAACTAAAGGATGAGTTTCTCAAGGATTTAAAAGAAATTGGAATCTGCCTAGCCAGTAATGAGCATGATCGGTTATGTGTGAAAAGGATATTGACTGTATTGTCATGATTAGTTTTTTAATTATTACTGGTTACCGATTGTTATTTATGTCAGACTCCCTCCTGCCCTGGACATTTTTGTTAACAAAACTAAGGCAAACATTTTTTTTTTACATTAATTTAAAAGTTTCTGCCTTTTGATATGTTATATATAAGGTTCAAAGTGAATAAACAGGGTTTCTCCATAAGGTGTATGTGTATTATTAAACTATGAATATGTTAACTTTATACAAAGAACAGGAAAAAGACAAATCATTAAATCGCAATTATTTTTATGACAATTAATCGTCAGTTAAAATTTCATGATCGTGACAGCCCTAGCTGTGACATTTAAGTTCTGCTATGCAAGACAACTGCATTTTCATTCACCTTTAATGTGAAGTGATTCCACACAACTGAGGTTTTCACTCATTATTTGGACCTTCATCTCTTATGTGTCACCTTCCATCCACCATATTGCTGGATAACCAAGGCAAATTTTAAAATCAATACTTTTTTTAAAAAAATCATGATTTTTCATCAAGTAAACACGACAACTCTAGACCAGAGTAAAGTTAGTTTATACAAACTTTTAGTTAATACACTGACTTTGGATAACCATGCATTAAAGTTCTCATTGCAGCTTGGAATGAGATGAATAATGAGGTCAGGGAGAAGGCTCTTAGCTAGGTGGTCAGCTAGAAGAACTGTATGAAATGAAGATAAGGGAATCACACAGGAAATACATGGAAATAAAGGGTCTTAGGTTATTAATAAGTAAATGGCCAACAGTATAATTTGTATTATATTGCGTCTATAAATGTGGTTTATGCTTGGATTAACGACATAACTATTTACCATATTAAAGCATCACACTAATTCTTCAAGCAGGTTTACACAAATTACTGAATTACTCAAAAAAAAAAAAAACTGCCGCAATTAGCTTCCCAGCCACGGTAAGCTGAGATGTGACAGTACAGATAAATGGCAGTAGTGATCATGCTGCGATTAGAGGAAGATGTCAGGGTGCTCAGGGACAATATTTCACATACCAGTACCTTTATACGGCAGAGGGGCCTTAGTCGACAGCTGTAGTTGAAGGAGCTCTTGTCGGAGAGAGCCTTGGATGGCCGACAGGGCAATGTGGGGAGGAAGAGATCGTTAGATCACCGCTATCCTCTCCCTGTACAGGTCTACGTCTTTTACTTAATGCTGCAGTAAGCTGTCACTAATAAATCCATTGGGACAGCAGAAGAAACTTCAGACCTAGTAAAACATTCTGGGACTGCAGAATGTGAGAAAACGTCATTAAAAAGGTGCTTTAAACAGTTTGCCTAGCTAATGACATCAGGTATCCCAATATGAATTTAACTACAAGGACAGTGTGCCCCTGCCTTCCTATCCACTCAGTTCACACAGCAGGGGTAGGTATATTCACTTTGTCATTAATTTGTGCTTATTTTAGAAAAAACTACATATTACTTTGGACAAGAACAATACAGGTAATACTTAAGCAGTTTAAAGGGAAAAGGAAGAAATCACAATAACACAACAAATAGTGAGATTTCATATATAAGCTTTGGCGTTGTTATGTTATAGGCTTATAATCGTCCTAATAGGAGATGTACTTTTTGTATTTTGTTAATTCATACCTCTTGGCTTAAATTATCCCCACATCCCTGACCACGATAAGTACATGAAAAGTGATTATCAAGGGCATAATTTTGGCTACACCCCCCCCAAAATTTACACCCATGATTTAAAGAACGAGGTTTGCATTTATTTGGCTGCGACCAAAACAATGGCTTACACACTGCTTACACTGGGGGATCGCTACTGCTGCGCTTAATCCAGGAAAAAAATTATTTAAGATGCATTTCCAGGGGGAAAACGGCACTGTGGTTATTTCAACAGAAAAGGTCAACGACCCACTGTCTTCGGAGGCAAAGAAAATGTATTTAACCTTTGTGCTGCGGCATCTCCCTCGTCATTCAGGTGCAAATGAGCTGATTTCAGTTTGGTATCCACACTATCCTGGTGCCTTTCAAGCAACCTCACGATATACTCTGATTAATGAATGATCTGAATTCTGGCTCATGAAACTGCATGGTTATTCACCAATTACTGTTAGTGTCAGGAGTTTTCTAAATAAAAACGATCAATCTGAAATCACTGAAGCAGCATCGAGACTCCAGTCAACGGTTTAACTGGAATTGCTGTCCTCGTGACACTGAAAAAATGAGCATACAGTTTTGTTATTACTGGAATATGAAAATCAAACATGTCAGTGCCCAGTACTGTATGTAAATTAATACATCATTTAAATAAGGAGATCCATCTACAGGATCAGTTACATTAACACTTGGGACAATATGATACAAAAGTTGTGTTTGGGGGTTTTGAGCCAGGACCAATGTCAGCATGTGACTAATTTAACTCGATCGCTCAACAGAAATCTAAAAATAACCATTAACTGTAAATCCCGCTGGTGGTGATTGTACAAAGTTTACGAAGCACATTAGCTTGAGGCTCGCTGGTAAAACACGCTTCCCCGGACGACACTGATCCTCACCGCTGGAAGCAGCTCCGCTTTCGTTCCGGGTAACGATACCCACCCACATGGCAGTCATTGCGGAGAAAACGCCAATTTCGGCCGCCACATTAGTTTAATTAGTCAATCTTACCAGCATGCCTTAACACGGAGCCACTGGGGGGCCTGTTCCCGGTATGTGACAGGACAAGTCCCGGTTGAACTCACCACGGTTCGTGCCGCGTTTCCCCTTCTTGTTCCTCGGCATGTTGCCGGTCGCCTCCCGCGGTCACAGCTCGGCCGACCGTCCAAGCGGGACCGCGCCGGATCACACGCCCAAACTTCTCTCGAAGGCAGAAAGACACTCTCCGATCGCGGTCAATCCACGACCCCTTCCAGGAGATCCTATCTTTAATGTTCAAACCGACGAGATAAGTGGCAGAGAGAAGCGCGACCCTGCAACGGCCACCTATTCGGCCGCCAAACCACGTTTCTCCGACGGCCGCGAAACGCGCGTGCTCGACGGCGCGGGCGCGGGTCCGGCTGTCGCCCGGCGCGGGTATTATCTGTGGTTGTCACCGGGTAAGCGATACCTAACACCTGGCTGGGAAGGTATTTCTTTTTCGAAGTGTTTTGGACGGAGAACAGTGCACGTTGCTACCGCAGGTTCCACCATCTTCTCCCCGGTTAGCACAGACAGAGATCAGGGCCGCCCCACCTCCACTTACGGCTGGAGCCCTCTCGATGCTGCTGGGTATTGTAGTTAACGGCTTGGGTGTGAATCCACAGCGTGCCAGACACGTGGAGTCCGTGCATCTTCGCTTTGCCCACAATTATGTAGTAGAGATAACAAAGTAGGCATGGTCAGGGACCTATTTACAGGAGGGGGAAGCAGGGCTTCACCAGGGGCCACAACCCGCGTCCAGATGAGATTTAATTTAAGCTTGGGAAGAAAATCACATTGTACGTTTCAATGCGGTGAAGTTTACATAGCATTAACAGTGAGTTAGTTATGTTCATTTTTGTTAACGTTATCATGTCAAACAAGACCTAGTCCAAACAATAAAGAACCTGGTGGTTGTATTTGTTGGCAGTGACATAATGCAAAAACATGTCACATGACTAACCAAGTTAAGATGTCTATTTGTTGTAGTAATAAAGTAGCACATATCCTCAAAAGATATTAATAAAACTGCATGAATAAAAGCTGGGTTTTATATGGTGGGTAAATGAAAAGCAGTCTTTATATCTGATTCCTTGGAATTATGTCATTGTAGGCACAGTGGATAGCAAAATACACCACTATATGTGTGGAGTTTATTTTTCTAATGTTGCACCAGTTTCCACTGGGCACTCTGATTTTCCTCTGTAGTCAAAAGACATGTAGTTAAGCCAGCTGGTGTCTCAAAATGTCTCATAGAGAAGGTGCCTTGTGCCCTCTGCCCAGGGGAGGATTAATGCATAGGTTACCTTAAGCTATCTTCCCCCACCCCAAGCTGAAAAAATAGTTCAAGTGGGTTGCTTAGGGGGCCTCCTAGCTATGTCAGCCTAGGGCCCCCAGAAAAGATAATCAGCCCCTGCCTGTGCAAGGCTCCACCCTCCCACCCCCCCGGCTGGATAAGCTGTTGATAGATGGATATTACATAGCATGGCTAGATTTAGAGGGGTGGAATTATAAGCATTGCAAATATGAAACATTTTATTTTGGACTGACTCTTATTTTTACTCGAAAACTCTTCTGTGAAATTGGGAACTTATTGTCCCTTTGTACTTTGCATCCTTATTTTGATTTTACATGTACGGAAATCTATACAGAACATGGTCACTGTAGAATAACAGTGTTAAACCACTTCTTTCCATTTTCATTTGTTTTTTGAAGCATAAGGATCTAGTATATTTAAATTTACCCAGTGTTAATATCCATCTATCCATCCATCCATTTTCTGCCATTTATCCGGGGTCACAGGGGCAGCAGTCTACGCAGGGATGCCCAGACCTCCCTCTCACCAGTCACCTCCTCCAGCTCTTCCGGGGGAATCCCAAGGCATTATCAGGTGAGATATATTCCCTCCAGCGTGTCCATGGGTCTGCCTCCTCCCAGTTGGACATGCCTGAAACACCTCCGCAGGGAGCCATCCTAGACAAATGCCTGAACCACCTCAACTAGCACCTTTTGATGCAGAGTTGCAGCAGCTCTACTTTGAGCCCCCCGAATTCATGAGCTCCTCACCCTTCATCTCCAAGGCTGAGCCCAGATACCCTGTGGAAGAAACTCATTTCGGCCACTTGTATCTGCAATCTTATTCTTTCAGTCACTACCCAGAGCTCCTGACCATAGGTGAGGGTGGGAACATGGATGGACCGGTAAACTGGCTCAGCTCCCTCTTCACTAAAACAGACTGGTACAGCATCCGCATTACTGCTGATGCTGCACCAATCTCTCTGTCAATCTCCCACTCCGTTTTTCCCTCACTCGTGAACAAGACCCCGATATACTTAAACTCTTTTGCTTGAGGAAGCAACTCATCCCCCAAGAGGAGGGCAATCCACCCTTTTCCATCCGAGAACCATGGCGTCAGGTGGAGCTGATCCTCATCCCGACCGCCTCACACTCAGCTGAAAACCGCCCCAGTGCATGCTGCAGGTCACAGCCTGATGACGGCAGCAGGACCACATCATCTGCAAAAAGCAAAGATGCAATCCTGAGGCCCCCAAACCAGACCCCCTCTGCCACTTTACTTCTAGAAAATCTGTCTATAAAAATTGTGAACAGAATCGGTGACAAAGGGCAGCTCTGGCGGAGTCCACCACCCACCGGGAACGAGTCTGACTTCTGACAATGCAAACCAAACCCTCGCTCTGTTTGTACAGGGATCCGATGGCCAGCAACAACGGACCCTGTACCCCATACTCCTGGAGCACCCCCCACAGGACCCCCCCGAGGGACATGGTCATATGCCTTCTCCAAGTCCACAAAACACATGTAGACTGGTTGGGTAAACTCCCATGAACCCTCCTGTATCCTTGTGAGGGTGAAGAGCTGGTCTAGTGTTCCACGACCAGGACGGAATCCACATTGTTCCTCCTGGATCCGAGGTTCAACCAACGGGGGGACCCTCCTCTCCAGTACCCCGGCGTAGACCTTTCCAGGGAGGCTGAGGAGTGTGATCCTCCTAAAGTTGGAACACATCCTCCAGTCCCCTTTCTTAAAGATTGGGACCAACATTCCAGTCAACATTCCACCCCCGAAGCCTTACCACTGGGTAGTTGTTTGACTACTTCAGTGACCTCAGCCGCAGAGATGGGCAAGTCCCCCCCCCAGTCTTCCAGCTATATTTTGTCTGAGGAAGGTGTATCAGTGGGATTTAGGAGATCCTCAAAATATTCCTGCCACTACCTGACTATTTCACCAGTCGAGGT